TCATAGCACTCCTTTCTTGATACCCATAATGCACACAGATAGATTTCAACCAGTCAAATACTGCAAAAGGAAATGCCCCTTTTCAAAACCCCAATTTGAGGTTCCTGGTCCTGCATCCGTGATCCACTCCACTGGAACATGCTTAGAACCCAATTCAGCATTCCTTCAAAATTGTACCGTCTGTAACCTAGGATCATCTGGGAGCACACTGACTGAGGTAGCACTTCGTCCACAAAGTAAACAAATCATCTCATATTCCTGTGTAAAAATATGCATAATATGTGATTCCTTAAAGAATAGAATGAATTTGTTTAGTTACAGTATTCAAATTTATATAATAATATACCAAGCCATCACATCTTACATGATCGCTGTCCAAATCAATGAAACTTTCCTCTCAGCCCCACCCCCTTTTTTTTTTTATTGTTGCTAAGGTACCACAAAATGACAGTAGTTAAAACCATATTTCTGGCCCTGTTCTGATTGGTCAGTTAAGTTTGATTGACACACTGGAAAGGTCCATTCTATATCTTGTTGCTGGTATTATTTGTTTATAAAACAAAGATCCAATTTTCACCTACTATAGAATACACAATCATAATTTTTTTTATGTTTTAAAAAATCAAAAATTATAAGTAAAAAGCCTTATAAGTTTCTTTCAATTTGAAAACAAACTGAAATGAAAGTATGGTGTTGGTTCATGCTAATTGTTAACATCTTTATGTAAAAAGGTAACTTTAAACATGCACTGATGGATGAATGCATGATAGATGAACAAACCCAAAAAATAAAATGGGGATGTAGTATTGTTTGGTGATTAATGCTTGCCTTCCAATCCCAGGGTCCTGGGTTCAAATCCTGTGATATACAGGATTTTTTCTCGCAATTAAACACATTTCTACTCCCTAAGCCTCATAACAAGACTTCGCTGATAAAAGCATCACATTATTTCATTTTTAAGAGGGCCCCTGAATATCAGCCGACCTAGATATTCTGGGTCAACCTCTATAAATATGCTTTAAAAAAATGAAAATGAATGCAACTTTTAAACGTATGTATGGTGAGAAAATATGCACTTAATAAATTTATTGAATTTAGTGATTCTATAATTCCAGTACACTACCTGATATTCACCATCGACACAGAATGTATAACTGTGTTTAGCAATCAAATGTCCACAAGCACCACATACATCTATAAAAAAAATAAAAAAAACCACAGCACCTGTTTAACAATATCAACACAGTGCACAACAGCCAATCCAGACTTGAATACAGAATGATTACATTACAGTGTATGTTCAATAGATGTGAACTTATTATTGATTATCATCATGTGGATTGCTGCTTTAATGCTGTCTAACCAGTGGCAGCAACAGCAAAAGGCCAGGGGGACATTTTTTTCAGTAAGACAAAGATGGATTCTCCTGTCATCAGATGCCACTTTAGGTCATCAAACTAAAAATATTAATTCGTCACTCCAACCAAGCAGCCGTCCCGAGGCAAAAGAACGTAAACTAACATTTTTGTCGATTTTGAGATAATATTATTTGTCTGAATTACCTGTGAAAATTTCAGGTCTCAATAATGAGTCATTTCGGAGATATCACCACCTATCTTTAAGCACAAAACTTAAAATCTAGTGGTTTTCTGTGGCAAAACAAGATTATGGGGCAAAACAATGTGAAATTTTAAAATTTTTTTTATTTTTATTATTGAAAAATGTTTTGTATTTTTATATGTAATTTTTATCTCTTATATCTTATTTATATTTTTATTGTGTTTGGCGACCCACTCGATAGAGATTTGAATCCCTTTTTGGGAAGCCTGCCTCTTTTTTATCTTTTTTTTGGTGTGTTCATATTGTAATCTGTTGAGGCGAATAAATGAATTGAATTGAATCTATGATAAAGATATGTTGTTTTGCCGCAGAATGGTATTCAAAAATTGTCTTCAGCTGATGGAGGCAAAATGAAATGGTTATTGGTGTTTTTATATCAATAAGCTTAACAGCGACGTATGAACAAGCCAGTTAATACATATGATTGCTTAAAATGTTTCAAGTTACGTTGTTTTGAAACGGTCGCAAAGTTGTGTTTGTACAGTGTAAAAGTAAAGTTAGGAGAATAACCCATAATTTGCAGCGTCATTGTGCTGAATTGCGTATGGGCATGGTCCATGACTACCTAGCAGCCGTAAAGAGGGGCTTATTTACAGTAGGTACATGTTCACATCATTCCACAACGATAGGGGCTGAAATGAACCATAACATCGGGGTAACCCCCTCCCCTTCCGAAAGATGCAATGGGTTCTTTTAAGTGCACACAAGCCAGAAAGATATATCACTAGGCCTCTATTTTAAATCCTCATCCGAGAAGACTTGGTTCTACCAACTGAACCCTAGACGAAGAGCGGCTGGAAATAGTGTTGTTGTTAAGGCTGTAGTTAGCGTCGCCCCTGCCTTACCACTCGGCTACTCGACTCTACAACTTTTACCATCCTCATTCATAAAAAATCTACCTAATGATCCCCACCATTCCAGGAATTTTACTTTGGGTACACTGACCGGTCTGTTGATCAGACAACGTGTTGTACATATGAGACCTCCTGTCTGCAAAATTACTAGATCCACCACTATTTCATTTAGTGGATTAATAAAGTATGAAGATTTCTGTTTAACATACGCTGGTAACTGATGGTCTCCACATCATCTTCATCTGTTTCAACTGTGCGTCCTTGTAACTTGATTGGCTCCTTCTTGTTGCACTCTTTACAGCACTGAAAGTTTATCATATAGGACCCACTATCTAAGCAGGTTTCTCCCTAGAAATATAGAAAATTTGAAACAATTTAACCCGATGGCTATTCCTATCCTGTTTAATCAAAATAAATGCCTGTCGGAATATTGAATAGACCTATTCAGTCTATACCAAGAATACTTACTTATGCTAAGGTAAGGGCATGGTACCTCATGCATAATGCGCAGGGTAGTCCTAGATGGTCCTAGAATTGACCTGTCCTTTAGTTTAGGACCTTGGCCTATGATCGATCGTGTTCCTCTAGCAAGGCGCTAGCCTAAGCTAGGGCCCTAGGCCCTACCTACCTAGCTAGGATCTAGGCCTAGCTAGGCTTAGTCTAGGTGGCCTAGGCCTAGCCAATTATAATTAGCAAGCAATGTATAGTAGAATAGAAAATTGAATTTCTTATTGCATACCCTGTCTGGATAATTCTCTTTCGTACAATCAATACACATTGTTAGTTGAATTGCTGTCGCCTGTATGGTACATCTTTGCTTTTCGCTTTGTTTACAAAAATTCACGCGACAAGGTTGAAGGCCTAGGTCGAATTGCTGGTGGCATTCGCTCGACTCAGATTGGTAGTCTCTCTGTTGTCCCTGAGCTTCCTCTATCGACAGCGCGATTTTCACGCCTCTCCTCCCCAGTCAGCTGATCTTGCTTCAATGTCCAGGGTGCGTCGCGTACGCATTATTCGACCGGAAATCCGATTGAAACTTTAAACCAATCGGAGTTGGGGATTTAGGGGCATGTGACCAAGGATTTGCAGGCGGTGACCCGGGCCGACCTAGGCCTAGATCCGATCCCAGCCAGACAAAAAAATTTGTTATGAATGAATAAATGAATGACTCGGAATCAGGGGCACTCAGAAGTTAGTTTTTGCAAAAAGGCCGAAGTTATTTGCTGCAAGAAGGTTTTTGGATTATGAATTTTTTACTCTGAACCTTTATTTTAGGCTCTGCTTGGTTAGAATTCTATACAAAGTCAATTAAAAAGTTAACTTCTGATGTGTTTGTATAAACGGGCCCTCTTTTGATGCTAAACTTAAAAATCAGTGTCAGGAATGTTTCTTGCTTGCTGGAGCGGCAGAGAGAGAGAGTCGCATCCCAGACCATAAATAGGCCTAGCCTAGGCCCTATCCTAGGCTATGCCCTACCTAGGCCTGCAGTGATAGCCTCCGGGGATACCTCAAGGTAGTCTTGTTGAAATCTTTTTTTTTCAACCAGCATTATGTATTATTATTATATATTTTTTTATGCACGGTTGTAAATTATCTTCTCGTAAATTGACTTCTCTGGGGCGCACGTTATTTAATAGGTCTAGGCCTTGGCTATGCCTAGGCTAAATTGATAGTAATTTTACTAGGCCTAGGCCTGTGGTAGTAAAATGTACAATATTTGATGACGTCATTTTTTTTTTTTCTATCAACAGGTTAAACTATGAGTCTAGGTCTAGTTGAAGAAAAACGCATAAACTTCGCCAATGTTCTTAAGAAAGCTTGTAAAGATGCAAGAAATGGAACAGTTATGATTGTTCCAAAATTCAATAACTTTACAGATGCAGTTGGTCTTCTGAGAGAATTCAATGTCGATGACAACCAAGATAATACATTTCCATTTATAGAGTCAAACAGCCCTTCAAAAATGCTCTCTCCAACTTCCCAAGGGTCTACTACATGCACGGAAAGCAATTCAATGTAAGTATGACAGATGTAGGCATAGCAGTACAAGTAGATGTTTTGCTTACATCTTCAACATTATCTGCTACTGGTTTATACCATAGAGAAAGTGTTTCTGACAATTTCAATATATCCCATTAACGAGTTTAAGATTGTTTTAAAAGACAAACAGGAACCGCTTATGATTTTGATCATCATCATTTAAATTGTGATTGTTTAAAAAACTGAATAAATAATGAAATGAAATGAATCTAATACAGATTATTTGATTTTTCAGAAACGATATGGATATACTTTCTGAAAGAGAGTATGAAGAATTGTGTAGCAATAAGTGGCTGAATTCCATTGGGAAAGAAATTCTGTGTAAACAAAATATTATGGACGAAGACCAAGATTTTTTGGGAATAATAGGTAATAATCATTAGCAAGTAAATAATATTTATTGGTTTTAAGGTTTGTCCACACTATCAAATATAATGCGAAAAAACGTGTATGATGTTCCCACATATCAGCATGATAATGTCATATTATATCCAAACAATTGCATATGACATTTATTTGTCACATAATATTTGATAGTAGGACAAAAATTTAGTCTAATATATCTGTATAATATTTTTGAGAATCTCATGTAATGGTATTAATAAGTACATTTAATATTAATTAATAATTTGTAATAGTGTAAAGCATACAGTATAAAGTGTTTTATCATACTTACTTCCCTTTACTCATGAATAAAAATGATGATGTCTAAATGACTTACATTAAAATAAAACTATTTTCCATTTTTAGAAATTGTTTGATAACAATACTCTATTTTTTTTAATTGTTTCAAGTTATCATTTTCCATAAATATTATGATTTAATACTTTTATTTGTGGAATCAAGGTGAATTGAATGTAGTAGAAAAGAGGTACACTGGTGATCTTTCAATGTTTTATGAAAGCGAAGGGAAGCAGAATACAATTCCTTGTTATCCAGAAACATTCACAGAGCAAGGCTTCCAAGACTTGTCAGTTTATTTTGTCCAGGATACAGCTAGAGGTACAATTCAACAGGAACAACATATGGATGCCAGATTTGTAAGTCTGTGTCAATGCTTGCCATCTAATACCAGTGTTTACCAGCGCTCAAATCCCAAAAAAATTGATAATTTACAATCATAATCACAAAACCAAATAAAACTATTCAAATAATTATTTTATAATAATTAAATTTAATAATTACAAATTTAATAAATAAAATAAATTTAAAAAAAAAAATTAAAAAATAAATAAATTAAATAAAAATTTAATAAATTATTTTATAGTTTTTTTTTTTCTTTTATTTACGCCTAAGTATAGGACATTATGCTGTTATTTATCAACAAAGCTCTTTTGGGTCACGGTGCTAGATTGAGGGCCTTATGGGGCCCTAGGGGTCGGCAGCCCTGCGGATGAGAGTGCATAATTTTTTTTTACTATATTCAATTTGCAATGATATTTTTATAGCAACCATATGCAAAATGGAAACATCAGTCTCCAGAAGAACTTGAAAGGAAGGAAAAAAATCGACTGCGAAGTAAAGCTTATCGTTTACGAAAGAAGTTGCAGTTGGAAACTCTCCGACGAGAAGAAGAAGGTGCTAAAATTGCAGAAGAAGTAGCAAACAAAGTGTGTTGGCAAAGTCATTAAATAGACACATTTATTTTTAAAATAAAAAATCACATAATATTTTCATATTTCATAATATTATACTGTAAACGAATGCCTTAATTGAACTGTTATTCGGTCACTAAAGAAAACAATTTCAAAAACCAAAAGCTTGTCCCAATTATGCTTAATTTTACAAACATAAAACAGTACTTAAAAATAAGTACTGTAGATGATTTCTATATAATTGGAAGTAAGTATTATGGATCTTGTTTGTCCATTGTAAAATTATTTGCCTTTGAGTTCGAAAATTACTGAAATTGTCAAATTTCCAATTGTATATTTTATATAATTTTGACAAATGAAAATTAAAAATTTTTTTTTTTAATAATGTTGAATAGTGGTTAAGATGCTTGCCAAAATGCCTCAGATGTTGTTTTCGGGCGTCTAGAAGACATAATTTCCTGGGGGTATGTCGGACCCCCTAGGATAGTGTTATCTCGATCGACACAACTTTCGGCCCCCCCCCCCTTGGACATCTCTGGATCTGCAGGCCCATATCCCACCTTTTGTAGCAAACCCCCCTCTTTTCTGGCGAAACCCCCTCTTTAAATTTCCCAAATAAGTCCGCCAACCAAAATAATGCACTGCATACCCACCCAGACACAGACATTTTCAAACATATCTACTTTTATAGCATTATTCAGACCCATAAAGAACACAAAAATCCTTGTGCTTTGGGGGTTTCGCCGACCCCACCGGGGCTTCGACTGTGGAACTCACGCCCAGAAAACCCTCCCCCCCTTGGAAGAACCTGGCTAAGGGCCTGATCTGGCCCTGAAAACAGCTCCACTCCCTAAACCACATAAAGACTCTTTACTGATAAACGCATCACATAATTTCATTTATGTAAAGAGGGCCCCTGAATATCAGCAGACCTTCTAGATACGCTGGAAGGATCACACTCTATAAATATTTTTTTTACGTATTTTACTTATTTTTTTGTTAGGAAAGAGAGGTTGCAGATAGAAAACATGAGCTATCAGCAGGATGCCAATCTGAAGTCAACCAACATACCTGAATATCCAATTCTAAGGAGGATCAGCCCGAATATTCAATTAATGAATTAATATGCAACTACTGTATCTTTTGCTTAATGTATTATGTAATTTAACTGGTTTAAAATGCAATATACGAAAACAGCAATGTTGTGTGTATGCATACAATTCTGATCCAAGTTACTGTTCTTATATTCTGTACCAAGTTTAGAATGCTGTGTTGAAAAAATGTCTGGTTTTTATTTCTCATTGTTGAATTCAAAAGGTTATTACTGTCTCTTATACACATCTAGATGTGTATAAGAGACAAATATATATATATATATGTATATATAATATATATGTGTGTTTGTGTGTGTCTGTGTGTGTGTGTGTAGATATATTTAATAATTCCAATGTGCAATATTTGATGTATAAATGAATTTAATGTATAAAGTTCAGCTGCAATAAATGTTTATATTTAAATTTTAAAAGCTGTAAAACTTGCTATAAACATTACCTGTATCTATATAAATTAAATGTCCCAATATTCTGTTGTAATAAATTACTAAAATCATAGAATATTTAACTTGTGTTTATGATTTTATATTTATGTTTTGTGATAAAAATATTATGATAATCTGCCTAAACTGTTTATTATTTTAATTACTGTTTAGTTAAATAATACAGTGGCGTACGCTACCTATAAGTCAGCATGGCCACTGTGATAAATAGAATTATGCCATTGGCTGGAGTAAAATTACAGTATGCTACCGAATGCTACGCTTCAAATAGTGGATAAACATGACTGCCTGGCCGTAGATTTAACAAACATTTTGGAACTAAGATACACAGCAATTAGGTATGCAGTACTTATGGTATTCAAAATAGCGTATTTAGCTAAAAATTGATTTAATACGTTCGCTGCCACACCCCCTTACTTGCCTTTTAAGTGAGGAGGCTGTAGGAAGCGGTCCAGGTTCAATGACTGGACCAGTATTATCACCAATCAATTTCGTTTGTATGCCTAGTTTTCCATTTGATTGATGTGAAAAGACAAACAAACACACACACATAAACATCCACGTACAGGCACGTAGTTAGATTTCACAATTTGTGTTCGTTCTTTAAATTATAAATATAATTACTATTCATCAATTTTCCGTGTCTCCAAATCGTATTTCATTATTAGGGTTATTTTCATGGCGTTGTTAGTGTAAGATAATACAATAACTCTATTGAATATAATCTCCACTCACTAATAGGCCTGTGTTTTGTACCACAAAAAAATTACAATCAGGATCGATATCGGATGCGAGCTTACCTAGCAATCTTATTCATTAAAATGAGTGTTCAACATGACAACATGAAATGCATAATATTTCGTTATTTTTATTGCATAAATTACAGTAGGCCTACTTACAGTCAGTTGTTACGGTATATATTTAAGCCGCCTTTAAAAGTACTTTTATATAAATCAATAATGTTATACTGTTTCCACGGTATATGAACACAATTGTACATCGCATTATCATTAGCACAAACGTAGTGACGTTAGTGTAAAATAAGGATAATTTTCTGTGATGCCTCATGTTTTGCAATCTCAACCTGGTGCCGTGCAGTATTAACTGTTGAAGTGCCACTGGATTGCCAACTACTGTAGCCATATTATTATGGTCTTTTTTTCCTTGACGTAATCAATCAATCTAATTTCTTTCTTTAAAAAATGTTGTTGATCAGAAAATGAGTTAAAATAAAATGAATTGGGAAATTGATAGCAATATTAACGAAAAACCATTAAATTTTTTTTTTCATTAATCTTGATTGATTTCTTTGTCCTATGCCTTATTAATGCAGTAGATTTGCCTAGTTTTTTAATTGTCCGGAGTTTCCAATAGTGCATCCCTATTATATATTTGTAATGTTGGTCTCCCAAAACATTGTGTCCAAAAATACAATTCACAAAAAGGACAATAAAATGTTCAACTATACATTTTCTGTAAAATAATAATAAAACAGCATCACAATATAATGTAATTTAAATACCTACTACACTATGAGACTTTATCTGAAACGGTATAAAATAATGTGGAACTCACCTAATTACCAAGCAGTGCTGGCAAAAGTGGGGAGGGAGATTATATTAAATTAAGTCGGAGGAGATCTTACTTTAAAACGTTTAATTCTGTATAAAAAAATAATGATCAAGAAATGATTGCCCAATTAAACGTTGCTTAGGTGTCTGTTTAAATTACTTAACCATTGTTTTATTGTCCGTGTTATGAGCCCCAGAGGTGGGGGCTGAAAAATCCTAGAGTGACCCGATGAGATGCCCGTTGAGACTGTTGGGTGCAAGATCCCTCCGGCCTGACCAACAACAAACTGCTTCCTACGTGCCTCTATAAAAATGGCACTCTCAGATTTTGTTTTTGCAATTTATTTTTCCAAAGAGGTATTTAAATTTAATACCGCCTTGTTTGTAAATTAGGTAATGAAATTTACACATCAATTCTAAATTTAATATGCTACGTTTTATGCCGCCCTCTATAGATTATTTTGTGCACAAAACGTGCCTTAAATACATACAATAAATAAGATCTGAATTTGGTGCGCAACGAAAAAAGAAAGGTGCTGTTTCCTTCATTTTGAAATATTGGATTAAACGGTGATAACATGTAAAATCGCATCCGTATGTACAGGATGATCTAAGGGTAGATTATCAGCTGTAGAACGTTTAAAATGTCAGCCACTAGAACCAGGGGCCGGGCCTGCAGGAGCCATCCAGGGACCGACCTGCTTAACTAACAGAGAGAGAGAGAGAGTGGCCAAACCAAACGTAATTAGGCCTAGGCTAGCCGAAGGCTTTCATTTATGAGGGTAAGGCTCTTCGTAATCGTAATAAACTTAAATTACTTTTGATAAAATGGATGCTCCTCCGGTTCCACCACCACCTCCTATGATGCACAATGCAAAGGGTATCCATACTGACAGTGAACATGGTCAAAATGCAAAGAAGGTTCAATTTATCAAGCCATCACAACCACACACAATTGGTATTGCTGAGGTCCGAGCTAAGCTGACATGTTTACCAGCTTGGTAAGTTAGTATTCAAGTTATTCCCTCATGGTAGTCGCAAACCAAGCTATTTTACACAACTGTACATAAAAAAAAAATAATTACAGAGCTACACACTACAGGCCTAGTATAAACACCAGGAAAATACTTACAGGCGCTAATGCACTTTAGTACTCCACACTAACCTTAACAATAACATAGTAATACTGCAGCTGAGGTTAGGGTTAGGGTGAAGTACTAAAGTGCATTAGCGCCTACTTATATTAAAAAAATATATTTTGAGATACATAACTGTGCTGTGCAAAATACTTAATGAGGCAATGATGTACAGACACCATTAATAGGCCTATTATCATCATTGTTATATATTTTTATTTATATGATGAGTACAGTATTAATTGATTAAATGATTATTTTACACTCAGGAGAAATGAACAACTTGCAGAGCAGCTTTCAACATGGGTATCTGTTTATCACCCAGTTGCTGCAATCCTTCAAGAAGGCCCTAAGTATGTAATATTTCAATTGGAACTATTAACTTCGTACATATTGGCATGTACATTAAAAAAAAATAAGTATAGTACAATACAGTTTTCTTTATTGTCAAGGCGATACATTTTTTATATTTTATTTTTGACCAATTAGCGCACCCGCCACCACGAAAAAGTGGAAATTTCAGTAAAAATAAAATTTTTTCTTTATTTTTATTACGCCCTCCGCTGCCTTGAAATCTCCAAAGATAAGATATGTATATTTCTTTATAATTGTATAAATTTGAAGCATTTAAACATCCTATTGTACATTCACCAATAGAATTTTATTTATATTTTAATAAGAAAACAAAATTTTATTTTTATTCCACCCTCCTCTGATAATTTTTTAAAAAATAAGTACGCGAAACAAGGAATAAAAAAAGTCTCGCCCGATGAACATTAAGAAATCTGAAAATGTTTTTGACATGATGGTCTTAAGAAATTACAGAACCTGCGAATGTAAAACACTCAATAATAGAACTCGCTGTATCAATTTCTATAAAAACACAGTTTCTGTTGCAATGAACTATCAATGACTTAGGTTTGTTTTTTTAATATTTGATATAAAATAAATTAAATTATATACTGTACATAGATTGTGTTATGACATTTCGTAACATTGGTTTTGCAATTTCATGATTTAAAAATCCATAAACACACACACTTCATATTGTATTATTATTATGATCTTGTGTACAGTATGTCTCGGAAGCAAGGAACCTGCGATAAAACATTCAAGAAAATAATAAAACTTGCTGTATTCACTTTCTTCAAAACAGCTAATTTTCTGTTGCAATAAATTATCCATTACAGTAATGACTTTTTTTTTTTATATTTGATATCAAATAAATTAAATCATATACTTAAATTGTGCTATGACATTTCGTAACATTGGTCTTGCAATCTCATGATTGAAAATCCTTATACACACACACTTTATATTGTATTATTATTATGTTCTCATATACAGTATGCATCAGAAGCAGTTTGGTGTAGCGGGAACCATTTGCTTTCACCCGTGGTCGTGATTTAAATCTATCTTTCTGCACTTCGCTTATGTCCTTGAGAAAGGCACTTTATCTGCATTGCTTCTCTCCACCCAGGAGTATAAATGGGTACCTGGTGGGGTTGCCTGCTACTGCATCAATATGGCAGTAACATTTAAGCATGTGGGCCAAATGACCAGGGAAAACAGAGCATATCATAACCTAAGGAAAGGGCTATAAATACCAAATAACAAAATAGCATATAACAGTATACCATTGCTTCTGTGAAATTGCAGCAGTATCATGATATTGAATTTTTGTTATGTGCAGGTATAGCGAGTCGATTGGCCGAGCAGTAAGGCAGGGGCGCCGCTAGCTACAGCCTTAACATCGGCGCTGGTACCAGCCGCTGCTCGCCCATGGTTCGTTTGGTAGAACAAAGTCTTCTCGGATAAGGACTTAAAATGGAGGTCCAGTGTATACATCCCATTGCATCTTCGGAAGAGTAGGGGATTACCCCGATATTATGGTTCATTTCAGCCCCTGTCGTTGTGGAATGATGTGAACATTTAGCTACCATGAAGTGCGCTTTACGGCTGCTAGGTAGTCATAGACCATGCCAATACGAAAATTCAGCACAATGGTGCTGCAAGTTATCAGTTATTCCCCTACCCTTACCTTTATCTTTAGGTATCGTCTTTACGGATCAATAACACCGTAGTCTACACGTACACAATTAAAATATTATTGCTTTGGTTTTTACCAAAAGCCTTAAATTATTTATGCTGTCTTTGATAGATGTGGTGTTGTGGCACTGTGCATGGCAAATTATTTACTGAATACTCGGCCTGTATCAGCTGACTGTGCCTTCAAAGCCGCAAAAGCACATGGATTCACAATGTACGGTGAAATGTTTTCAGGTAAAACTCATGCTTTCAAGAATCCTAAACAAATTCTTGGACCATAAAGGAGACCCTCAATGTTGGCCTATTACGTATTAATATTTAAGCCTAGTGAACCCCTCACATTTTCTTTGAACAAACAGCACCACTCGGCAAGGGCGTATATCAGTTATGCATTAAAGTGGTCTGTCTTGATATTATGTGTGACCAAAATAAACTTTGTGGTCTAGCGGTATGGTGCTCGCCTTGATATCAAAATGTTGCAGGTTCAACGCACACCATGTCTAATAACATAATTTTTCCTGAGCACTTTTTTTTTTATCATTTACCTAATTATTTATATAAATTATATTAGTATCTCTGTTTTTTTGCCTGTGAGGTAATTTCACAAAACATTACTCTTTATTTTTATTACTCTTAATGAAATTATGTTTCTCGTTTATTTTATTTTCCAGTTATAAATATGTGCAAACTTGCTGAGGAGTTACTTGACTGTGAAGCAATCAGATTAACGTCGGGACTAAGTGATTCTAAAATCGTCTACAAGCATCTAGATAACGGCTGGCCGATTTTAGTTCCGTATCCTTCAATTTCCTCTTGTCTGTAATAACTCTTGTTTGTAATAATCATACGATACTTGTATTTCTCTTGACCCTTTGCTAGGTATGATAAAGACGAATCAAACAGTCCATGCTGTAGACGTGGGAATAAGGCTCATTGGGCCGTCATTACTGGTGAGTGAGTGTATTGAATCACAGTTACTACTTTTGTGTTAGGTATCGGATGGATGGATGGGTTTATTCAGTGTAAAGAAGACTTATTTTCAGTAGGGTCCTTCTGGTGGTGATTGGGCAGTACATCGGGAGACAATCAACAATGTAAATAGAGCAGCTTAGCTCAGTAGAGAGAGCAGCTTAGCTCAGTCGGCTAATCTGGTGGTAGCCACTGTGTGTGCACTGAACCGTGGAGATCTCTAGGTCCCCGGTTCAATTCCCATCGCTGCCGCTCCTTGTGTTTCAGCTAGAGGGCTGAAATACAAGTTACATAGTGCACCGTCTTTCGGATTAGACTTTTAAGCCGTTGGTCCTGTGTGCATTTATGGCCCATGTGCATGTTAAAGAACACAGTACACTCTTCGGAAAAGAGTAGGGGATTCTCTCCCGGTGTACTGTCCAATCACCACCAGAAGGACCCCACTGGAAATAAGTCTTCTTCTAGACTTTCGTGGGCTATCCTTGGTGTTTACACTGAAGAAATCCAATCCAATCCAATGTATGTATTCTCTCTCAACTAACGTTTGAATATGTTTTTTTTTTTTTGTTTATAACAGGGTATCTTGTTCGGTTAGACAGTTTACCGGATTCATTAAAACTAAATCAAGACCAGGACATGTCAAACTTATACCACGTACCAAAGAATGTGTGTTTAAGCTCAAAAATTGCTTGTCTTTTGCAAGAGGCGGACTCTTCATCCATTTACGTGTATGGAAAGCAGGGTAAAAGCAATCATCTTGGAATATGGAGTTACCAGGATCTTCTACTTAGCAACAGTAACTTACTAGAGTGGCATGCTGGGAAAAATGATGTAGATGAAAGGGACATGGTGCTTTCAGGTGGTGGAATAGAGCAGGGACTATGCAATCAGATAATATTGTTGAAGCCAAAGTCAGAGAAACTGTAGTGATGTATATTTTAGTGAAGCAAGTGAAGCTTGCAAATCATGAACTTCATGAAGGTTACAGAACAGTATTAATACTGAGTGTAACTGAGGCACTTTGTTATCTGTACTCTATCACAGGGGTGAATCCAGAGAAAAATGTGGGTAGGGGCCATGCAATATGCAAAGTTCCAACCGGAAATTAGCTTGTTTTTGAGTACTGTACTCCTATGTCTCTTTTTCATTCATTTTTTCTCTTTTTTTTGGGGGGGGGGAGAGTCCTTTCCCCCTGTTCGCCATCCCCTGGGTCCACCCCTGCTATCTGGCTTTTTACTCCTGCTACTACTACTGCTACTAACTATTATAATATTGGTACTGAATAATAGCCCATGTGTTTGTGTTCAAATTTTAAAATGTCATTATTTCCTTGTAATTTTATTGTAATAAATTATTATTATTATGCCTACCACTTATATTCATAATGTTCTTAATTTGCATTTAGAAAAGAAAATGAGTTGTTTTCCATGGTCTGGTGTGTACTTTTATTTTATATAGGTCTATAGAATTTATGTACACATGCTCATCATAATATAAAATACATAACACAACCCTACCTTGACATAAATCAGAGATAAAAATACATTCTTCGTGGAAAGATTGATATACAAAATAAAATATTAAATAATAATAAAAGCCCTATTAATTAAAAAATATATATATTATGTACAGGAGAAAATGTTTGGAAAATATAACTGCAACCAGGGTGATTATTAAACATTTCCATTAGCCTTAATCAATACACAGTAACTTATAAAATCAGAATTATCATCAATGCCAATATCATTAATATAACACACGAAAAAGAAAATATGCAAGTTTAACCATGAACGTGATTGGATTGTCTAAAGGTAATAAATCTCCGTTCCCGAATGCATTAGACATTTATCTTCATTATTTAAATAAATGAATAAATGGATTTATGTTTGCCTTTCATCATTTTAAAACGGTTTAACACACACTCATTACATAGTGCATTCCTGTCTTTATTATCAACAAAGTGGCGGAAGTGCCGATAATGACTACGCACAGTATAATTATCATATGCCTATTTCGGCTATCACAACGTACATGTATTCTAGGCCATGTATGCAATCGTACGTAGGTCGAAAAATTAGTAGTTTGATAAATTTCATAATAATCTAGCAAAAACATGGCTTAAAATGGAAATTAGCGATTACACTATAATACGATTAAAATCAATCGGGTCGTGTTTGTATTCAAATTCAGGTACTGTATTATAATTATTGCACATTAATGAACTATGGAATGATAATAACAGTGCTCAAATAGGACCATGTGATGTGACGATGTTATCGTATTAAATTGTTTGATATTGGCATAAATTGTTGGAATTGAAATGTCAAAAAAGAAGTATAATTTAAGCCTATTATATAACAATTGTAAAACAAACCAGTCAGTGACATGGCTGAAATAACTTACATTAAATACAGAAATTACTAGAATATCACATTTTACATTATTCACAACCTACCGTAATTCGAAAAGCGCCGTTTAAGACCTGAAAAATGGGTATCTGTGAGTTTGAGTTCTTTAGTCAGATATTTGTTTGGTTGCACACAGCACAACCAGTGGCGGGTCCAGGAATTCGAAATGGAGGGGGCCCAGGGAGAGACTAAAACGTATAGAGTCAATTACTTAGAAATCATACTATAAAAAAAATGTGAAATTAACTTACTTTCTCATTTTGCAGTAACAAACACATTATTAACCTGAGCAAAGAAATGATTGAATTACAAAAATTGTGTACACTGATTCTACTGGTTATTACGATAAAAAATAATTAAAGCACTCATGTTTCTATCATTTTTCGCTGTAAAATATATATTTTAAATATAATAACTTTAATGTTCAAGTTAGTTTACCATTTAATTCAAATTCAAAATGAGCAAGTTATTTTCTAAATTAATTAATTTTTTTTTTTTTTTTTTTTTTTTTGGTATTTTTCATTGGACGACAATAGAAGAATCTATTGGTGGAGTTGTGGTACATGATGAACACTTTAGTATTTCTTTGTATGACTGTCGAAACTGCTTGCTTCTCCAGCCGTATACGATAGGGTTGCAGCAGGAGTTAGCCAAAGCAAAAATGCTTAAAGACTGCCACAAGGCATCTGGCGCCGAAAAATCCGAATCAACGATAGCGGCAATTGTTATTGGCATCCAGCAGAAGATAAACACGACAAAGACTATGAATAAATTCATCGTTAATCGAACCTCTTTCTTTATATTAAGTTTTGCGTGAATGTTGTAGTTTGCGGTGGTTTTCTCGTTCGAGGATTGTTGATCATTTTTATCCACTGGTGGTGGTTGATGATCCTTTTGAAGCTCCAAGTTACTTCTTGCCACCGTGTCATTAACATCTACCACCGCCGACGAAGATCCTGTGCTTTTTTCTAACTCTAAGCCATATTTCGAACTTCGAGGTAGAGCAACTTTTATTTCTCTTGTGTCTGTATATTCTCCATTAGGTCTTTTCGATGTGCCAGTCTGACTACTTTGTTCCTTCCATTGCTCAATGCGCCGACGACTGGCTCTCACCGCTCGGAAAATACTCACGTAGCAAAATGTAATTATAGTAAAAGATAAAGGAACAAATGTTAGAAGTGACAATGTTAAAAATCGCGATCCTTCCGAAGTAGCTTCTATACTACAAGAAAGGGCGACGTCGTGGAAACCGAAGACATCTTCGCGATTGAAGAAAGGGACCATGACACTGATTAACGGTGGAACCCATATTAATATGCAAATAAGTATCGTGCGTCCAGGGGTGAAGATTGTTCTATACCTACTGTATTTTACAATACAAACGTATCTATTGACCGCTATCATGGTCAGGTTCATAATTGAGGCATTAAGACAGAGAACGGTCAACACACCAATGATCTGGCAGGCGATGTACGCGTTTGGCAAGAACCATTCTCGATACCAAGCTGAAACAATGTACACGGAGTCGGTTATCAGACAGGGAATCAAATCTGCTATAGCTAGGTTAACAACTAGGTAATGTCCAGGTTCACGAAGTCCTCTATTGGTCAAAACTGCTATGATGGTCAAAGTATTTCCGATAGACCCCAGGATTAACATGCATGATAGAATGGCGCATTCGAATATAACCAGACCTACATTCTTCATTTCCGTGTCCGCATTATCTGTGGTAAATATCATCGCTGGTAAGATCTATGGAAATTAAATCAATGCATATTATCACTTAATAATATAACTTGCGATGGTTTAATATGTAACATAAAATAAATAAGGTCGATACACGATTACGGCCTATACTTATACTCCGCAATGTGATTGTAACCTGACCTTTAAATCATTCATTGCGTAAAGGTATTTTGGTTCGGACTGTGTTTATATTCTTCGGAGTCGGAATATGTAAACCATAGTTTGGCAAACGTTACACTCTACAAAAACATACTTTTTAAGAATATTGAGGCTGAAATTGCTTAAAAATTAAGAACAAATTGAGGCTGAGGTAAAATGTAAAATGATGTTTCTCTATTTTAAAATAGATAAGCCAACAAATCTTAGGGCTATCTGTATCATATTTGCAGCAGGTGTGACTATGGTGTGACTATGTAATACCCTCTATAATACAGTACAGATTAAATATCTAATATTGGGGGTACAGATGCTTGCCTTCCAATCCCAGGGCCCTGGGTTCAATTCCTGTCAGTCTTGCAGGATTGTTTTTCACGACCAAAACAACTCCACTCCCTAAACCTCATAATATTATTGAGATTTAGTTTGTGTAAAGCATCGTGTATGAAGTTTGTCTTCTGAAAGGGATTGTCACTTACAAGTCGGAAAGGGATTGTCACTTACAAGTCGGACAGTGATATTTTGCTATTGACAAATCCTTGGTGCATGTGTTGTTTGGCCAAATAAATAAATAATATTTATATTATATAAAATGGTACTTATGGCTAATTGTGATCTTTATAATTATATTGTGCATTAGGCCTAACTCAATTGTTTACATATTTTTTAAAAGCTGCCTTATGTAATTGTATCAAAATAAATAATAAAATAAATTACTACCGGTACAGCAAATTGTATGTTAGTCAAAAGTTTTGTTTATTTATTTATTTGACATATTTAACAGGATAACATAGAGGATGTAACAATCTGTTTTACATATGGCCCTGTTTTACGATACTGTACAAGATTACAGACGTTAAATATATAATTGTGCGAGTTGAAATTGCATTGAGAACGATTAGAATTACAAAGTTAGAATTGGTCTTTCTTATAAAAATCCTTGAATTAAAAAACTAAAAAACTTAATATGGCTAAATGTTCAAGGAAGTTCAAAATGAAATATCATAGGCCTAAAATTTAGACAGATTTAGATTTTCGTCTATAATCTGAGTCTATAGCTTATAATAATCCCCCTGTCTGAAAAAAAAATAATTTCAACACAACCGTGTCTTTATACGTACGATTCTGTGTTTGGCCGGCGGCAAGTCGGTGTTAAGCACCAAGGTACTTGCAGTAATCTGGTCGTGTAATTCAGTTTTAAGCACAATTCGGTGTCTGGCAACGGCTAGGTGTTAAGCATCAATTCGGTATGTTGCTGCAATTGGGGTTTTGTTGCAATTTGGTTTTTATACAATTCGACGTTTGGACACAACTCCCTGTTAACCATCAATTCGGTATTTTGCTGCAATCTCGTTTATGCACAATTCGGTGTTTGGCAACAACTCATAGTTAAACATCAATTCGGTAACTTGCAGCAATTCTGATTAAGTAACAATTCGGTTTCAACAAAATTCGGTGCTAAGAAGCATCCGGCTGCAAGTTAAAGTGTTAAGCAGCAAATTCTCTGTTTAATCTGCCATTCCTTGTAAAAGCACTGAACATGTAATCGTCCTCTGGACTACAGGGGAAGTAATAATTAATGCCCATGTACATGGTGTATAGATGGGAGAGTGCAGAGCAAACTTCTTTTGAAAAACTAAGTGATATCAGTGGTCACTCTATCTAATGATGATAAATATTATCAAATCGTTATATCTGAGCAAACATAGGCTATTAGGCCTAGTTCATTTACGTGAACTGCGAAAAACAACAAGTTTACGTAGCGTAGCAGTAACCAAGTTTCTAATGAGACAAGTAAAGTGTAGATTAACAAGGTTTAATTGCATTTCTTCCCGTTAACATATGTCGACTTTCGCAGGGAAAAAACCCGTTAGAGTTTAGATAAATTACAGACAGTCACTTAGTTACGTTGGCGCGCATGAATATTCATTATAAATGACATGCTCTCAATTTTTTTAAAAAAAGACTTAAATCACTACTGACTATTACCGTACTGCGCGAATAAGCGCCCCGTTTGAATAACCGCCCCTCCTAACGTGAAAATTTCCTTAAGCGCTCCGTAATAATAATAATATCATAAGATTATCTTTTTAGCAAGTCAATAATCCAATCAATTCTGGGACTGTGGTTTTGGCATGATTTGAGCTGCAGAGTGGAATCACATTCTTCTTAGGTCAATATCAAAATGAGGATATTTCTCTCGGACAGATGAGAGCTCCGATCCCTACACAGACAGTATATTTCCAACTTTCCTCTTACATATTTGCCAATTTGCCAGCCGCTGGCCAACAAGTTAACCACTACCAACCACACTAATTGCATCTGCAATTTTGCTGTAATAAATATTCACAGCATTCTTGTCATGAGCCATGTTCTCTGGACGATTATCTTTTCCGCCTAATCACCATTCGTCCTTATATAATCTTTTTCATTCAAAAGGTGCCTCTTGAATTTAATAAGTTCCCAAAAGGACTCCTCGATTTTCATCTATTTACATAAGCGCCCCTTAATTTCCACTCTGTTTTCATAAACGCCCCGTTTAAATAAGCGCCCCTCAGAAAGTGCAGAAATATTTTAAGCGCCGGGCGCTTATTCGCACGAGTACGGTACTTGCGAATCTTAAGCCAGGCACTCACTGCGTCGTACGACACATTCAACTCCACTCCATGTGAGCGCTAGACGACGCGATGCCGTCTGCTGATTGTCGGTGGCAGTCTGAACGGATCGTCATTAAAAATGATCCTTCGCGCACGAGCGGGTTCAGTGAGCCCAGATTTAGATCCTTCCCTAATATTCATAGCAATACGGTAGTACTTGCACATTGTCATTCAAAAGTTTATTGGAAAGCTGAATTTAACAATAATAAATATAATAAAATAATAATAATATTAATAATAATAATAATATAAATAATAATACAAATACTTTTATTATTGTATTTATAGTGATAAGGAAAACGATGATAGTGATAATAACACCATTAATAATATTAATAATTAATAGTATATATTAAGATTACTAATATTAATAATTGTAAGAGTAACAACGTATAATATCAGCAATAATAATTAACAATAACGCAATAGAAATAACAGTAGAATCAGCTACAATCACAACAGCAACAGCATTACTATTGCTATCGCTATTATGTTTACCATTATTATTATTATTATTTTTATTATTATTATTATTACTTATGTAGCGTATTATATAAATAAAGGCTTCCAGTCCTTTGTTGGCTACTGCTATAGATCCCAATTTGAATATCACGAAAAGACACGATTAGACGAATGTGCTCAGATCGAAGTCCATCAAACTGATTGTCCATCAAATAACTAATTAATCCAATGGTTTCGTGATAAAATGAACCGCTTCTAGAATCATTTCACGTCAAGGAGGGTTGAGATCAGAATTATAGCAATTATTTGAAAAGTAATTATGTGAAGAGAGCAATGAAGTGCTATCGCTGAGACAATTAATTCCGCCACCTATCTACGCTCACTAATATCCCGCTCCCTCAAATTTTACCACTGTCAATAACTTTAATGGTGGCGTTAAAATAATATATTATTATTTGATTGGATTTATCCGGTGTGATACGCACCAAGGATAACCCAAGAAAGTCTGAAGACATATTTTCAGTGTGGGTTCTTCTTCCGGTAATTCGGCAGTACACCAGGAGACGTTCCCCTACTCTTTTCCCGAAGAGTGCGTTCTTTAACGTGTACAAACACATAGTAAGTCAAATACATTTGCCTAGGAAGAGTCGATACTTTGGCCGAATTATGCTTATAGTACCGTATTAGTCCAGTGAGGCCTAAGGTTTCTTAAGTATACCAGTCTTTGAAGTGTATTCATTTATTGCACTTTAATTCAAAACAAAATTCATATCGCTTAATACGTTATTGCATAATGTACCGTACATAACGAAAATACTGTATATGTATGGTTTTCGTTTTGCATTGTATAATATTTCACTTTTTTCTTTTTTTCAGCCGTCAGCCTTGGACAAACTGAGTATTTAAAAAGTATTCTTGTATGTCTGTACACCGTTCCTAGTCGGTCTACATTTTGAACCCATACATATATTTTGCCAGAATGAAAGTTTCAGGGTTTTTTTTCTGAAGTTCATTTAAAAATATAATTTGTATAGCTTTGCAGGTAAATAATTGATATGCCTTCTTTATTAATCGAAACTTATGAATGCATACGGACCAAATAAATATGTAAGCCATAAGCCCCTGTACAGATTAATAGAAGTGAATCGGTTGAACGTATACGTTGTTCTTTGTTGCGTGTACATTGTTTTCAGGTAGTACGCAGTACGTTGCACGTGTCAGTGAGAGCGTTGCGTTTGTGTATGTTGTACGTACGAATGGGTGTATGCAAGGAGGGTCGGGAAGGTCGTATGTACAGTAAGTTGTTAGTTTACAACTGTAACAGTACTTTTTCGGCAGACAATCATTAGGCCAAAAGGAGTGGCGGATTTAAAGCAGCCCTTACGTGGCCTTTCCAGCATGTAACACCTGTGTGAAACTGATGCTTTATACGTTCATTTGTAATTCGATATTATGATTTACAATGCATAAGCGAGAAGAAGGGTGTATCCAAAATCTGAAGAAATGAAGGGAGCGACCCAATAGCAGTACACAGAGTGAACCCATGCAGTAAATCGAATTTCTGATGTTTTAATTCGATATTAATGCTTTCAAGCGTTCTGTATGTAGACCTTAATGTGCATGAACACGTGGGCCTTTGTAACCTCAACCTCAAAACTTTTTGAGTCAAGAGACGATCGCTCCATTTGACTGTCGGCGAACTGGCTGTCTGTGAAATGACTGTCGGCGAATCTGTCGGAAAATTGATTATTTGTAATTTTCATATATCGGCGTATTGGCTATTGGCGAATAAAAATGTCAGCGAGTTTGCCACCAAAACGTCGGTATGTCGGCAAAGTGAAATACGGGGGAAAAGTCTGTTCGGCAAATAGTCTGCCAGACGTTTTCCGGTGAACTGGTATTCGGCGAACAGACCGTCACAGATTCTTGAGTACCGATTATTGATTTGATGTTTTTGCTCCAGCGCGCACTGGACACATTTGTACGCGATCCGTCCGTGCTCATGGAAACAATACGCTAATTAGTCATGTAGAAATGACTCAAATGGTGTTTAATGTTCAGATGATAATGATGTTGTACTACCTAAAGAACACTTGAGAATTCGCTTATATGACTGTCTGAAGTGTTTGCTACGCCACACGTAGACGACAGGGTCACAACTCGAGTTAGCCAAAGCCAATATACTAACCACTTGCCAAACTGCATCTGGAGCCTTAAAATTTGAATCAAATATTATAGCCAACGTAATTGGTAGCCAACAGAGTACGAATATGACGAAAATTATGAATAAATTTACAGTTAAGCGTACTTCCTTTTTCAGGTTTAGTTTTGAGTGTGGTATGCTTTCAGAATCGACAATCGGTCGCGTTCGTTGAATATTCTGTTGCTCATGTTTGGGAGGAGGTGAGGGTTTATCATCGTTCAGTGATGCCAACTGATATGTACTGCTATTTATTGGCTGTGGTTCCCTATTTGATGAATTAACACCAGGATTTGCGCTTTGAGAATTGTTAGTCGTTGGTACACCCCTTGTGGTAGTGGCGTGCTGCTCGATCCGGCGGCGGCTTGCCCTCGCCTTTCGAAATATATTTATATAGCAAAATGTAATGACAGACATTGCTATGGGTATGTAAATTACAAGTAAGAGAGTAAGATACCACCATCCAATATCAGTGGCTTCTACACTACACGAAAGCATACGAGCGTGGATTCCAAACACGTTAAACTGGTGGCTAATGGGGATTACGACGCCGATGATCGGAGGAATCCACGCCATCACACAAAAAAACACTGTGCGTCGCGGTGTAAATATCTTCTTATACTTGTTGAATTTTACAATACAGACATATCTATTAACCGCTATCAGGGTTAGATTCATTACAGAAGCTTCGAGGCAGAGTACCGTCAGCAAACCAATAATCTGGCAGACGATGTATGCGTTTGGCAGGAACCATTCCTGATGCCAAGCTGACACAACGTATACAGAGTCAGTTATAAGACACGGGATCAAGTCGGCTATAGCTAGACTGACGACCAGATACTGTGCAGGTTCGCGAAGATGCCTATTGGTCAAAACTGCTATGATGGTCAAAGTATTTCCAACGGACCCCACGATGGACATGCATGATATAACGGTGCATTCAAAGATTAATAGGCCCATATTATCCCGATCGGTGTCCGTGTCATTTCCAGTCATCGTCATCCTCGGCTGGGGATAAAAAGAAAACGAATTAGTATAGGCCTACTCTGCTGCAAACTTTTACCGTACAATTCAATAATAGCTGGGGCGGATGCAAGGGGGGGGGGGGTGTAGACGATGCGATCGCACCCCTCCTAAATTGTATGAAGCAAATTGTATTATATTGTCGACATGAATTATTGGTAAGGTTTTTAAAACATGAGAGTCCAATTTCCGGGCACCCACAGGTCCATATTCTCGAAGTTTACGCACCTCAACCCCCAACCATGTTGGGGCTGAGGGTGGTGTGGACTCTCATGCACCCATTGGGCACAGATGAAGGGGTAGAGGACAGGTTCCCCCCCCCCACATTTTTTAAGGAGTTATCCCCTCACTTTTTGTCTGCAATGCAATTCATAAATGAAGATGCTTGAAATTGTTGAAATAAACTGCATAAACGACCCAGATTTAAACGACAGGGCGTTGTAGAGTACATCTGATTTTATAGCAACATTCCGGTATCTTTGTCCACAAACATCTGAATTAGGCCTAAGCTATAATACACGACTCGCGTGTCTTTATTATAATTTGAGAAGTATGAGAAAAAACGTGCAAATATAAGATTGGTTTTCGAAACATGAAGTAGGTAAATTAAGGAGTCGTTAAATATTATCAGCATTTCACAAGTGTACAAACAGTACGCTAGGGGGGAGGGCTAGACACTTTTGTACACTCTTACATATGCACAAAAATGTTGATTCAAAATAACACGCAATATGTAAAATAATGGTAAAATTATAACGTAACCATGAATATAATATTCATTTTTAAGCAACCAAGTACATGGATAATGGTTTTGCTAGTCTACATTTTTTGTACACTTATAGAGGACAGGGAGGGGGTACCGAATAAGAGTACCGTACTGTTTGTACACTTGTGAAAATTGATAATTGTGAAGTTTGCAAATTAACAAGTAGGACTACTATAATAGTACTAATCATATTTTAGCCATGCGTGCGCTTCATAACAATGTATTAGTGCAGTGATGTAATGCAGGGGTCGGGGGCCCTGTGGCTTTCTGAGACTGGGGACATTTTTGGGAATCGGTCGCCAAGCCAATTCCACTTTAGATGTGCTCGTTTTTCAGTCATGTTTGTCATTGTGTTCTAAATGTCTTTAACGACGAAATAAGTAATGGCGGATCCAGTAATTTAAAATAGAAGGGACTTCAAATATGGCGGGTATATAACACCTTAGCCCCGCCATGGTTGGTCTGAGATGAGAAACTGTATGATTATGACACCTATAGATGACTGAAAATGGCACTTACAGACTTAACTTTGAATATAATATTCTTTAAAAAGAAAATTTGACAAATTTAGGGGGAATCTGGCCGACTGCCCCCTCCCCTTTAATCCATCGCTGGATATAATATGATATAAGTATACAGTCGATGTCAGAGAGCCATGCTGTTATGTATCAACAAATCTCCGTTGGGTCAGGGTGATGGATCGGGGACCTTATGGATATGGGTCGGGGGTCCTGTTGCGGACCGCCGCACAAGAACGGACACGCGTTACACCACTGTATAAGTGTTGGTGCAAGGGTTTTGGTAGTGGTCAGTGAATACCGTATTCGCACGAATAAGCGCTCGGGCGCTTAAATTTTTTGCACTTTTTGGTGCGCTTATTCAAACTTGACGCTTATGAAAACAGAGTGGAAATTCAGTGAGGCGCTTATGGAAATAGATGAAAATCGAGGGATTCTTATGGGAACTTATTAAATTCGAGGCACTTTTTAATGAAAAAGATAATATAAGGACATCGGTAAACCGCACGGGAAATATAATTGTCCAGAGAGCATTTCTCATGACAAAAATGCCGTGAAAATGTACATGACAGCAGAAGAGCAGGAGCAATTAGTGGTGGTGGATAGTGGTTAGCTTGTTGGTCATCGGCCGATTGAGATCAGCAGGATGGCAGGATCATTGCAGGTTTTCTTGAAAACTAAAGGTAAAGGTGCAAATTGTCGGAAAAAGAAAAAGAGGAATAGGACTAGGCCTAGACAATGTAAGAAGAGGAAAGTTGGAAATATACTGTCTGTCCAGGGATCGGAGCTATAATCTGTCCAAGAGAATATCCTCATTTTGATATTGACCTAAGAAGAATGTGATTACATTCTGCAGCTCAGATCATGTCAATAACAACCACAGTCCCAGGTTTGATTGGATTATTGACTTGCTAAAAAGAAAATCTCATAATATTATTGAGGGGCGCTTATTCAAACGGGGCGCTTAAGGAAATTTTCACGTTTATTCACGCGAATATCGGGTACACTTAAAGTAATCGGCGCAGGAAAATTCGAATACTGTACATTTCATGCTTTTACTTTTCGATAACCTACTAACAATACCAATAATACCAATGCTCGTTCTAAGAATTTTTAGTTTAGAATTAATCAATCGATTAAGAGAATCAATCAATTAATCGATCGCTCGGGCGACAGACCAATCACTTATTAAAAAACAATTATATAGATAGAGGGTGAACCTTCAAGCTTATCATAGCTAAAAGGTTGGCTGATAGACTTATTCGAAGATACTAGAAAGTCGGCTGAAAAATAATTAATGTAATACAGTAGGGATGCTACAATACAATACGTAATAGGCATACAAGGTTAAGGAATGGAAACGTTTTTAGTCGTCTATTCAAAAGAATACTCGAAGGTTATTGTTTTTGTGTGTACCATGATTGGCGAAAATTTTAAATTTTCAGTTGAATCCTACTAACATAATTTAATAGGCCTATAGGCCTACAAAGTTAAAATTTCAATTATTGAATTATATTATTAAGTACTGAGCTCATAATAGACTGTATATCTGAATGAAGCTACATGTACTTTAGTAAGCTTTATCATATAGACGCAGTATCAAACAGAGCTCTCAAGGCCTAAAGCGAGCCCAGGCATTGCCCAAGGTATTTATCTGTATTTTCTGCCTCATAACCGAGCAGCGATGTTTTAAGCAGCATTATAAAAAAAACAAAAAAACATCAAAATACTCTCCTAAAACGTCAAAACCTGACGACGAAACCTGACGGGATTTCCCCCAGAGTAAGTAGCAAGGATGGCGCTAGGATTTGCCCGACGGGAGGTCAGTGGTCCCCGGTAGGGGGCCGATGTCCCCGACGAGAGCAAAGTGGGCGTAGTCGGGCTCCTCTCAAAATCTTTTGAAAGTTGTCGAGGGGGAAAATCCTCCCAAAAATTTGACAATTTAGAGGTTTCAAAGGCTATTTAATCAATTTTAGAGTCTACTAATATCTTCATAATTGCATATCATTTTTTTTTCTCCGATGAATCGGGTTTTCCCATCTCGACCGTGCCCCCGAGGGGGGGGGGGGGGGGCGCAGCTCCACCCGACCGGGGGCTCTGGCTCCCAGCCCCCCCCCCACTGGCGCCACCCCTGGTAAGTAGGGCCCTGAAGAAGCCTTAGCCAGGAGACTCAGACCTCTTTGTTACGCCACTGCATAGGCTCACGCGTATTACAAAAAACCAATATAGCCGGAATTATAAAGTTAAATTACCATTCGGCCTAATTCGCCCCCTATATGTTGTTTATTTTACGGCAGGGCCAAAGCGATAATAATGATGATGATAATTTGATTATATTTAATGATGTTCTACATTATCATAATACATTTTTTGAAGCAATAAATTTGGATGTAATGTTGGTAGGTAAAAGTTCAAGTGGTAAGAATCATCCAAATATTCTTCAACTCTCAGATCAAGAAGACCTTTCAAAGGTTTGTGATGCAATAGCAATGCAGCTTGGTAGTACATTCAGCTGTATTGCTGTTTGCTTATACCTATTAAAAAAGGTTTCACTTATCCTCAATTAATAACGGAAATTCAATCAATTTTTTTTTTATAAATTGAATTTGAATTTAATTGAATTCACCTGCATTATAGTCTCATATCAAATGATTTGTACATATTAAAATGAAAGACCATTTCCCGATATAGCCATTAGTCTACATTCGGCCTGCATTCAAGTCTATGACCTCTCCCTCCCACAGAACTCTTACACCTGCATTAGCGCTGGAGAACTATTATCTAAAGGAAACCAGATGTTAAGTAAATACATTAATCGATGTTTATGTTTTCTATCAGATTACAATGAGGCTCAACTCATTTTGACACCAATCATATGTAGGCCTCTCTATATTTTCATATAAACCGAAGTTATTGAATACACTTCCAAAGTAATGAAGCTAAGATTTGTATCGTGTATACTTTCCAAAATTTTAGTACGATTTCTTATATTATCTAACGTCATACCAAACAGCCATTGGCGTAACTACGGTGTGGCTCACCACCCCCACACACGCTCTTGGATCGGGTGGCGCCCCCACCGACTGGACATATTCATATCACTCATTTTTCCTATCTCCCCTCACTTAATCATCGAGCCCTCCCACTTTACCTTCCCACCCACATAAACACCCATCAGTCCCCATTTCAATACTCTAGATGCGCCACTGTAAGTAACTTCAGCAGGGGCGGATTTAGAGGGGGGGGGGGCTAAACAGGCTTTAGCCCCCCTTAAAAATTCATAACCATTTCTTTTTAACTGCTTTTTGAAGGTCCAAATTAAAATATTGTTTAATGTTTTCTTCACACACATCATATTTATGGGCTAAACATTTTACAGTAGTTGTTTTTCAGTGATAAAATGAAAATAAAATACTTTTTTTAACCGATCAGCTGACAAAAAACGTAGCTAAGAAAGCTGCTTTTGCCTTGCTTTCATGCTCAAATCTCGAAACAAAGGCCGTTGTGTAGCGGTCTCAACGTTTGTGTAATACACTAAACGTTTCGTGTCGCGCGGGTTTGTTCTTGTCTAGTCTTTCCTCGATTGCTTGCAGTCAGAGGTATTTGAATGTTTGTAAATAAACAAATAATAAACTAACATTTTCGTGTCGAGCGAGTCGTTCTTGTCTAGTCTTGTACAATTATATTATTCTATTCCTCCCAAACTATTATTAAATAATTATGTATATAATATGATATGATATATATATATATACATGCATATATACATG